AGTGGTCTAGATTTACACGACTAAACATATTTCCAAACAGCTAAAATGGGGCTTCTTGTAGAGGGAAATATGAACCAGCCAGCTGAATTGCAGTGTGCAGCAGAAGGTGCACACTGCAATGCAAACAGTAGAAACTTTGATACTTTCCACTGAATATTTTATGAAAAGTAAGGAGAGCATGGCATTCAAACTTCAACTCTCAGCTCTTAGGAAACATTAGCTCATAATAAACTTGGTACTCTTTGATCCCGCTAACCAGCTAATGTCTGGTATAAATTAAGATATTGGGACAGCAACCAGGCTCCGATATTAGAGATAAAATATAGAAAAACTTTATACAGTCATATAATTCATAGACATGAGTTAAAAACATGAAAAAGCAAAGAACAAATGCGTTAGACTTCAAAATGCAAAAAAATATGGGTACATGTACTTAGAGAAAGTGCAATTTCTGCTGAAACTGTCTATTGGCTGGAGGCTTTTTTGAATCCCATGTTTAGTGTCTGCCTTAAGGGGAAGGATTGTGATTTTTTTCTTATAATGTTCCTGCATCGTTTTCCTGACGGAATTGGGATAAACGGTGCATTTTCCAGATGGGTTTGGGATCTGTGACAATGCACCTGACCGTTTTCTGGATTGGTGCAGGATGAAAAAAAAAACAGATCTGGTAGATGGCATCCCACAATTCTGTGGCAACCCTCCCTCTCTGATGCTGTGCAGCTCCTATAGAGAGACAGGATGCTTTTAGGTTTGACCCTATGAAAGTTTGTGAGCAGCGGGGTAGAAAGTCTAGTCCGTTTTTCAGCTTCCAGAGAAAGAAGAGCCATTATTGGGCCTTCTTCACCAGGTGAGCGGTGTTTACCCTGCAAGGGAGGTCAATGGAAATAGGAATGCTTAATGCTGCATCACCTCCTCCTGTATGCAGAGAGGAGCCTGTTCCGTCTTCCTGTAGCCCCCATCCATTATGACCACCATGGACTTGCTGGTGTTCATGCATGCAGAAAGATCAACCATAAGATTTTTCTGCGTGCAGGGCAACTTCTCCATTGTGCAGTTATAAGAGAAGATACCAATTGAATGTCATTTTAGCCAGTAGATTAGCCAGTGAGACCTTTAATCTCACGTCAACGCACAAGTACCTGATTTAAACTTTAAATATTTTCCCCAAATATAATAGATGGTTCTATTTTTGGCTCTCTATCCTTTCAGTCATAGAAGACCTATGATAATTCCTGGGTAACAGAATGGAGACAAAGTGAACGCACCTCATTTAAAGGCTGTAGAAGGGATTTGTACTGTTTGAAATGAAAATAGAGACTATCATATAAAAGAAATGGAAAAACATAACTATCTGCACTGCACATTTAATTCACAGGAAATATAGTTGACTAAAATTGGATAGAATAGAAAATTTAAATGTTGACAGAGGTCTAAATTACATTCAAGGCAAGGCAAGTTTATTTGTGTGGCACATTTCAGTAAAAAATTATGCAAAGTGAACCGTAGTAAGGAGAGAATAAACACACAATAAAATGTATTGCTATGGCAAAATAAAGACAGGTAAAGCTAGACGAGAAACTTAAACTCATTATGTTTCAGCAACTAAGAATGGAATTTCAACCACTTTTCAAGAACTTTGTGTAGATTAATTGAGGCATGAGCAGTACATATCAATTGTCCATGTTTGGTTTTGGGTATGCAGAGCAAACTTGACACTGAAGTCCTGAAGCATCTGGGTGGATGGTGCACAAGCAACTAGTCTGTAATTCAATGATTCATAGGTCAATAGAAGTATTCTAAAGTCCATTATCTGGGATAAGAGGTGCTGGTGTAAGAACCTTTCAACAGGGGTGATGTGCTCAACTTTCTCAGTTTTAGTGAAGACATCGGCAGCAACATTCTGGATCATCCCCAGCTGTCTGATCCACTTCATAGGCAGGCCTGTGAGAAAACTGATGATATAATCAGTTATGCTACAAATTGATACATTTTTCCAGATCCTGCTGAGACATTAGTCATTTAACCTTGGAAATGTTCTTTAGGTGACTTCAGCTGACTTTGTTAGTGTCGTTATGTGCCTCTGAAGGTTCAGGTTTCAGTTCATCACATTCACAACAAGATTTGGGGCCGGATCATTTGTTTCTGACTTGCACTGCCTTGTGAAAGTATTTGACACCCTTGAACTTTTTGACCTTTTTATCACATTTCAGGCTTCAAACATAAAAATAGATTGTGTTTGCAGTAAATTGTAATTCTTTGTGAAGAATCAACAGCAAGCGGGGCACAATCATAAAGTGGAAAGAAATTTATTGGATATTTTCAACTTTAACAAATGAAAAACTGGGTGTGTAAAATACTTTGTAGCGCCGCCTTTTGCTGCGATTACAGCTGCAACTTACTTGCGGTATGTCTCTATCAGTTTTGCACATCCTGGCACTGAAATTTTTGCCCATTCTCCCTTGCCAAACAGCTCGAGCTCATTAAGGTTGGAAGGAGAGAGTTTGTGAACAGCAGTTTTCAGTTATTTCCACAGATTCTCAATTGGATTCTGATCTGGACCTTGACTTGATCATTCTAATATCTGCATATGTTTGTTTGTGAATGATTCCATTGTAGAGTCATGTTTTAGATCATTTTCTTGGTGGAATATACATCTCCGTCCCAGTCTCGGTTTCTTCCAGAATGGTCCTGTATTTTGCTCCATCCATCTTCCCATCAATTTTAACCAGCTTTCCTGTACCTGCTGAAGAAAAGCAGGCCCAAACCATGATTCTGCCACCACCCTGTTGGGCAGTGGGATTAGTGTGTTCAGGGTGATGAGCTGTGTTGTTTTTACACCAAACATAACGTTATGCATTGTTGCCAAAAATTTGGATCTTGGTTTCATCTGACCAGAGCACCTTCTTCCACATGTTTGCTGTGTCTCCCAGGAGGCTTACCGCAAAGGTTAAATAAGACTTTTAATGGACATCTTTAAGAAATGGCTTTCTTCCATAAAGGCCAGATTTGTGCAGTATAATACTGATTGTTGTCCTATGGATATGCATCTCTGATCAGTTATCTTCTTGTTTGAGCTAAAAGTTTAGAGGGACCACCTGGTCTTCGTATATTTGCAGTGGTCTGATACTCCTTCCATTTAAATATTGGGGTTTGCACAGTGCTCCTTGGGATGTTTTAAAGCTTGGGAAATCTTTTGTATCCAAATCGGACTTTAAACTTCTCCACAACAGTATCTCGGACCTGCCTGGTGTGTTCCTTGTCCTTCATGATGCTCTCTGCGCCTTAAATAGACCTCTTAGACTATCACAGAGCAAGTGCATTTATATGGAGACTTGATTAGACACAGGTGGATTTTTTTTATTATCATCAGTCATCCATCCATCCATTTTCCATCACGCTTATTCCAAGCGGGGTCGTCAGGGGTGCTGGTGCTTATATCTCCAGCTGTCTATGGGCGAGAGGCAGGGTACGCCCTGGACAGGTCACCTGCCAATCGCAAGGCATCATCAGTCATAATGATGATAAATTTGCTGCACTGAAAGTAAAGGGGCCGATTAATTTTGCACACCCCATTCTTCAGTTGTTTATTTGTTTAGAAAGTTACATTTTCCAACAAATGTTGTTCCCCTACATGATTGTTTCCCAATTGAAGTTGATTCGTCAAAAACAAATACAATCGTATATAATGTTTGAAGCCTGAAATGCTGCAAAAGGTTGAAAAGTTCATGGAAGCTAAAAAGTTTGACAAAAAATTGTAATTGTAGATGAACCAAAATGTATTGGTCCAGTTTTATTTCCATTCAGTTAAAGAAATGTTGGCACATCCATATATTTGTTCCTTCTATACACTTACCCAGTGCTTCAGTGGGTTAATAGTCACTTGTAACATTGTCAGGTAAAGCTGC